ATTGTATTATGCTAGGTCGTTGATATCGGACGAGGCGGGCGGGCAGCAGGCGGCGACGCGCGGCCGACTGGGCTTCGTGGCGGGCGTGGTGCAGCGCGAGCGCGTGCCCGCCTTCGAGCGCATGCTGTGGCGCATCTCACGCGGCAATGTCTTCCTCCGCCGTGCTGAACTCGACAAACCTCTTGAAGATCCTACATCGGTTAGTGGATTACTGACTACAATTCTACGATAACATCTTATACGTGTTAATAAGAGAAATTAACAAATTTGTACTGTCTCAATTACTTATTATACGTTCAGTGTCCCTCGCCTAGAGAGTCACCTTACCAAGAAATCATAATGATATCGATTTTTTTTTTCTTGCATAATCTGCTCTAAAAAGTAAATATAATTTTTGTCATGATTCTGATCAGAAAAGCAATTATGTACTTTTAGTTTGCTTTTTTTTTCAATAAATCGGTTATTTAAGTATGAATATTTGGTGGTAGGGCAACGAGATCTACAAGACGGTGTTCGTGGCGTTCTTCCAAGGCGAGCAGCTAAAGTCGCGCATCAAGAAGGTGTGCACCGGCTTCCACGCCTCGCTGTACCCCTGCCCGCCCTCCAACACCGAGCGACAGGACATGGTCAAGGGAGTCCGCACCAGACTCGAGGACCTCAACATGGTGAGCGAAACTACTCTCTTAACACCACCTTCTGTAGGATTTCAATTAATTCTATATTAGTACATATTTAAATGCAAAAATGTCTGGTGATAACACAGTCCCATCATTTTTTTTTGCAACAAAGTAATGATGTACATAAATTATAGGTGCTGAATCAAACCCGCGACCACAGACAGCGCGTGCTGGTGAGCGTGGCCAAGGAGCTGGCGAGCTGGTCCATCATGGTGCGCAAGATGAAGGCCATCTACCACACCCTGAACCTCTTCAACATGGACGTCACCAAGAAGTGCCTCATCGGCGAGTGCTGGGTGCCCACTGCTGACCTGCCCAACGTGCAGAAGGCTCTGGCCGATGGATCTGTTAGTTCTATACATTTCAATTTATTTACGTGTCTTTAATTATCACGTTTTCAATATCCTTTTCGGGTATGCATTGAAAATCAAAAAATATACAACTATAGAACCAATGCAGTTGATTCACAATCTGTCTACTCCTTAAGATTACAAACATGAATTAATATATCTTATTTATTTATCATTTACAAAGGTAAATAATAATTCTTATGTGATTTTAAAATATATTGTGATGTGTTCAGAACGCATGCGGCAGTTCTATCCCGTCGTTCCTGAACTGCATAGAGACGGACGAGGAGCCGCCCACCTTCAACCGCACCAACCGCTTCACGCGCGGCTTCCAGACTCTCATCGACTCGTACGGAGTCTCCTCGTACCGCGAGTGCAACCCGGGTAAACACATTTATACATAGTAAACAGTCCTGTTCTTTCTTCGTAAAGAATAAAGCATAAAGCATAGCTAAGCAATGCTTTTGGATTTTTTTTTATTTCAACCTTAGTAATATAATAAGTGCTTATGTCTTTATGGATGGATGTTATGTTAAAAGGTATCTTCAGGACGGCTGCATGAATCTTGCAGAATTTTGGCATAGATATAAACTATGTCAGATAGGCTAATAATTCATTTTTTATGGACAGAGTCACGTGCGACAGCTAGTAAAATAAATTGTATATTTGTTTCCAGCGTTGTACACAATAATCACGTTCCCGTTCTTATTCGCTGTGATGTTCGGTGACCTGGGCCACGGCTGCATCATGGCCATGTTCGGCGCTTGGATGGTCCTAAAGGAAGTCTCCCTCGCCGCCAAGAAGTCCAACAATGAAATCTGGAATATCTTCTTCGCCGGTCGTTACATCATCTTACTCATGGGCTGCTTCTCCATGTACACCGGCTTGGTGTACAATGATATATTCTCCAAGTCCATGAACATCTTCGGTTCCGCCTGGTTCGTGCCATACGACAACGAGACGCTCGAAAAGAACCCATCTTTTACTCTCGACCCTAAAGCTTCTTACATCAATAAACCGTACTTTATTGGTATCGATCCTATTTGGCAGGTTAGTTTCTTTCTATCTATCTTAATAACATTAATTATAGAGCGCCAATAGCCTAGTGGTTAAGGGTACGGATTTCCGAACAGATGGTAAAGTTAGAATCCCGCCATACGACTATTGTCGTATACCATATATATACTATCACAATTCTAGAGCTTAAGTAACAAAAATCTGCTGTTTTATTTTTTGTGTAAAAGAAGTGAGGTATTTAATACTGATGACACTTCCTTGCAAAATTAGTCAAATAAACATTTTTTTTTCAGTCCGCTGACAACAAGATCATCTTCCTGAACTCATACAAAATGAAGCTTTCTATTATCTTCGGCGTCATCCACATGATCTTCGGTGTCTGCATGAGTGTCGTCAACTACAAGTTAGTTTACCTTAGTTACCATGTTAATGTCGGATTCCACTGTTTAAATAAAATTGTCTTTGATCTCATTCTCTAAATAAAAAACAGAAGCCACAAATGATAGATATTTTAACATAAATATTGCGGCAGTGGAATTTTACTGTAATATTTTTTTCTCTAACAATTAAACAAAGACTTTAAATAATTATTAACCGTGGGTTTCTTAGGTCAAAGTCTTCTTAGGACGATATGTTTTAATAAAGATTTGGGCTCAGAAACCAAATGCCGTGTAAATTGTATTTATTATATGTTTTTGTTTGTCAGTTTCTTCAAGAGGCGTTACTCGATCATCTTGGAGTTCGTTCCGCAAATCGTGTTCCTGTGCCTCCTCTTCCTCTACATGGTCTTCATGATGTTCTACAAGTGGATCTCCTACAGCACCTTCGCCACAGGTATACTATCATAAATTACCTATACTAATAAAACACACACTCACACTTCTTTATAACTCAAAATCTTACCAATCACGGTATATTTTATCTATAATACAAAATGCTTTAGGCTATATATTTTCACGCTATTAAACTTAGAGGGTGGGTAATTTGAAAAAAATATTATGCGAGAATGGGACAAAAATTGCAAGCCAATAGCAGCAAGGATGGGTGGTTGGCATGGTAACGGTAATTCTCAGCGTTGGTAGTTTTTATTTTAAAACTTAATTACATAACTTCATTGATAAAGAGCATTCTAAAGATGTATGAAGCTAGGGTAGTAATGTCAGTAATTGTGTTGTTCCAGATGAGGCGTACAAGCAGGGCTGCGCGCCATCAGTGCTGATCCTGTTCATCAACATGATGCTGTTCTCCAGCAACGAGCCGGAGCCGGGCTGCAAGGAGTTCATGTTCGACAGCCAGGGCACGGTGCAGCGCGTCTTCGTGCTGGTGGCGCTCTGCTGCATACCCATCATGCTGCTCGGCAAGCCACTTTACCTGCTCTCCGCTAGCAAGAAGAAGCACAACAAGGTATATAGTAATCACCTAAGTTATTTTATTTGATGTCTCTAAGGAAAGCAATAACTATAATTTAGTTGCACATTTCAGCCGGAACATTCGAACGGCAGCGTGAACCAAGGCATCGAGATGCAGGAGCAGACTGACATCAGCGAGGCGGGACAGACGCAGGCGACCCCGGCCAAGCCCGCGCCGCACTCGCACGAGGACGAGCCCTTCAGCGAGATCATGATCCACCAGGCCATACACACCATCGAATACGTCCTCAGCACCATCTCTCACACCGCCTCATACCTCCGGCTGTGGGCTCTCTCGCTAGCTCACGCAGGTAAATAACAGCTCATATGTTATAAATGCAAGAATTTGGATGAATAAATGAATCTTAGGTTACAAGGCATCTTCAGAACGGCTGGATGGATTTCATGATCAAAATCATGATGCAAAACTGGCACCAATGCATACTTTTTTTTTAATAATAGGCAGACGGAGTTGCAGGCGACAGCTAGTTAATAATATTGTCGTTTGTGCAGAATTGTCTGAGGTGCTGTGGGACATGGTGCTGGCGTTCGGGTTACGTGACCCGACATACGTGGGCGGCATCAAGCTGTACGTCGCCTTCTGCTTCTGGGCGCTCTTCACCCTCGCCATCCTCGTCATGATGGAGGGCCTCTCCGCCTTCCTGCATACCTTGCGTCTGCACTGGTATGTACCGAAAATATTTTAACTCCAATAAGGTTGATGCAAACTACTACAAGAATTGTCTTGTCTTTCTAATTAGAAATATGACTAAAAAACCTATATATCTATATATTGTTAGAAAGCAAAATCCGACACTGTGCCGGTGTAGTGGCGCACTTGCCTTACTAAAATGTCGTCTCTTACTAATCATTCTGTCTTCTTACTCTCACTAATCATTCTGTCATTTGACTTTGTAACAAAAGCAAATGCGCCAAATGATTTCAACTAAAAATGTCTAAAACTATTTTTGTTCAATTTTCATTTGAAAAAATATATAATTTCCAGGGTGGAGTTCATGAGCAAGTTCTTCTCCGGTCTCGGCTATATATTCCAGCCGTTCTGCTTCAAGACGATCCTCGAGAATAATGACGAGGAATAAATAAAAAAAAAACAAATATATCAGTAGAGCGAATAGTTCGCGGCAATATTTATATCGTGTTTGTTTCCGCGAAGATTGTTATGTCACAAACAATAGTGTGAATGAAATATATTTTAGCATACTTTAAAATGACGTATTATTTCAATATTAACACAAACAACTCTGTTTATCCCACAGAAAAGAAGAGGGATGATAATATGTTTTTTTACACAAGTTTTTCAACATTAAAAAATTGTTATTAGATTTATTTAAATATTTAATGAGAAATTTAATAATGACATGAGTAAAAACGCGACATTTGCAATAATCAAGACTTGCAGATTTCAAGGGAAAGTTAGAATTAAAAATATCTCTTGAACTTTATTAGCGATTGTTCACATAATATACATATATAGATCTTAAAAATTAAAATATTTAAATTGTATTAAATTAATAAAAGATAAACTTAATGTCACAATCATGAAAGTTACATTTTTAAGAATAACTCAAAAACTACTGGATACATTTGAATTTTTGAAAAAACAAGACCAAGAGACACGCAATACCTTTCGTATAAAAAAGAATTATGAAAATCCGACAACCAGGAGCGGAGTTACGAAGTAACAAAAATAACAAAAACAAACTTTTTGAATTCGGTTAAAATATATTGCATTTACCTGAAGTCTAGGTGCGTAGATTAGCCTTCGCTTTATCCATGATTTCTTTCTTTATCTTGGGGTAGTCAGGATGGACCTTCAGTATGTGCCTGCAGACGACGATGCACTCAGGGTATCGGCGCAGTTTGAGATGCGCGTGCGCCAGTTTGTACCCCAGCGCGAGATCAGCTCGGCCCGTGTGAGACCACGCGTTCTCGTAGTTATGTGCCGCGCTTTTGTAGTTCTGCTCTTTTTCTGCTAGATGACCTAAAAGAAATCACTTAAATTTTTAACATACTCAGAGTTAATTAACTCTGATTATGTTAATCATTTAGTGACTAGTTGGTCACTAAACGTGTTCTTCAGTGTAGCTTTATTATGAAAAATTTAGTATTCAGACAATTTCCTATACAAATGAAAACAAGGCTCCTTATGGCTACATACAGAATAGTTTAATGTGCAATTAATTACATACTTAGTGTAGATCTTTAGTACTAAATGCGTACTAAAGTTGTCCGTAAGACTATTAGTGGGTAATCATATCTGTTTTACCTAAATATTGGTAGGCGGCAGCGCACGAATTGTTGTGATTCAATACTTTAGTGAGCAATTCTTTAGCTGCGTCCAATTTGCCAGAGTTGATCTGTCCATCTGCAACTTCTAGCCAACATCTAACAAACAAATTAAAAAAAAAAACAATAGTTGTATATTTGACATATTCAATTTTATATCACGAAGTCTAATTCATCATTAAATTACCTTTCCAATCCGTCAGCGTTCTCCGGAGTCCAAGGTATAGAAGATATGGTTCGCTTCAAAATATTTTTAGCCCGAGTTGGTTGTTTTAGTATATTATAACTGTAATAGATTTTTCATTATGATATTTTAGGATTTACACAATAGAGCCAATTTTGTTCCATACGAAGATTAGGGGCGTTGGACAAAGTGCTTTCGCTTCGAAGCGATTCCATAGCGAACTTCAAAAATGTATAGAACTGACAATAACTTTCGATATGTCACGCGATTGTCGCGCCTCAGTTTCATACATTTTTAAAGTTCGTTATGGAATCGATTCGTAGCGAAAGCACTTTGTCTAACCCCCCTGGATCTCATAGCAAACGAATATCATAATATTTAACATACGCGTTAGCAATAGCCAGTATTAGGTATGGGTCGTCCTGGTACGCGTCTTCTGTAGCTAATGGAAGTAGATCTTGCAGCACTTTCTCTGCTTGCGTCTTCTGCTTGTTGGCGAGCTGAAGTAACGCTTGCAGCGACCTCCTCTCCATAGGATCTACCTCTGACAGAAGCTTCTCAGCTGTTTTAAGAGCTAATATTCTTGTCTCCCTGTGTAAGCAACCCACAAATATGAACCCTTATTCCAGTGTATATGAGACTGGAATTCTACAAATTATCCGTAAAACAGTACATGCTCTACACATAAGTTACCCTTATTTTACAATGTCGCTTATTTCACAATTTCGATATATAAAAAAGGATCTAGATAGACAGACAGACGGTCGGACAATAAACTGAACCTATAAGAATTTCGTTTTTTTTCGAGGTACGAAACTCTAAAAAAATCAAATATCTTAATGACTATAATTTATGGAATTTGACGTACTTCTGACAACTTAATATAGTGTGTGATCGGATGAAGTATGAAGAATAATGGACATAATCAATAAAGGAACGTTGGAATTTGCTATTAAGGCACTATACTAGAAAAACTCGAATAAAAAAAACATAAAGAAGCATAGACTTACGAATGTTCAGCGAGGGAGTCAGGCGCGTGCTGCGAGAGACAGAGCAAGGCCATGCGGCGCGCGGCGCTGCGGCCCCACGGCGAGCGGCGCGCTGCGTGCAGCTGACGTAGCGCCAGGCTCGTCTGTCCGCCGCACACCGCCCACACCCCGCTGCAGTACTTGTACCCTGCGCACGACACACGTCGTACGTCACGACACGTCACACAAAACGACAAGTCACACGTCACGACACGTTACACGTCACGGTCCGTCACGTCACGTCACACGTAACACGGCAAACAACACTACTTTAATACTTTATTGCTAAGGTTTTATAACCATTTATTGGTGGCTTTATTTTGATGGGATCGGGGAAACTCTGTATTTAAGGAGAGAAGTTTATGTGAGATTTTTAAATATATGTACATATAGGACATATAAGCAATGACTTAATGATGGTAATTTGACTTTTATTCTTTAGATTTACTGATTCTCAGGGTTCCGTACCTCATAGGAAAAAAACGGAACCCTTATAGGATCACTATGTTGTCCGTCCGTCCGTCTGTCCCTTTTTTGTATTGGGACTATATACATGTACTAAGAATGAAGCAGCAGACTTATTTGGAATCTTTTTGTGCTTAATTATGTAAAAGTATTATAAAAACCTGGATCATCAGGATTTTGCATAGAATTCTTAGCGTTATCGAGCGCCTGTTCGGCCTCTGCCAGCTTGCCGCGCCGCCACTGCACCTCGATGAGCTGCGCCAGCGCCGCCCAGCTGCACGGCCGTACCGACAGGATCTGATTCAGGTGCCTCTGCGCCGTCTCAAAGTCAACCTAAAGCAGACATAACAAAAACATAATCAGTGGAAAAATTCATCACTAGATGGCGTTGGCGGCAAATTAAAACACGGTGAAGAGAGTCGTTCTTACCTTACGGAATGCTAAATCCGCCATCATGACTGCAGCCGATTCGTTATTCGGGTCTGTATTGAGTAGAAGGGTACAAGTCTGTTCGCATTTCTCCGGATTGTTCATCTGTAATTAAATATTACAGACTTCAAAAAGTTTATCATGTACTAGCCTTCGCACGCGAGTTTATCCGCGCGAAACTTAGAAATAAAACTTAATTGGTAACCAATGTGTTCTTCCAAGCTATGTTCTACATCTGTGCAAATTTTATCAAGATACATTTAGCCGTTCTGGAGATACCCTTCAACAAACATCCATCCATCCATCCATCTATCCATCGAAACATTCGCATTTATAATATTATATTAGTAAGATTTGATATGTTCAAATATTAATGACTTACGTGAGCATAAAGTTTAGCCAATGCTAGTAATGTATTTGGATCTCTTGGTGAATGTATCAATGCTTCTGAATACAAATTAGCAGCCACTCCTGGCTCCTTCAAAGACTTTGCTTTCGCCAACATACAGAGTACATCTGTCAACCGTTGCCTTTCTTCTTGTATGTCACCTCTAGAATCTATTTCTACCCTATTTACAATTGCCATTTGCAAATCCTTTGCTTCAGCGAGTATCAGATTAGTGTTGCCACTAACTGGATTCTTTAATTCCCTACATTTGGCTTGTATAAGAAGCAGACGTATGCGCCTCTTTAGTGTTGCCATATCTTTGTCTTTATTGTACACTTGATTTAGTTCATTAGTTATTGCTGAATCTACTTTGTCATATTGTTTTAACTGCGAAACAAAATTATTTACATTTGTTAAGTATAATATTAGGGGTCCCAGAGAGAACTGTCTCCAATATTGACATGAATAGTTTTTTTCATATTTTGATTTTAAAAAATGTGTTTGCCATATACCTTGACCAAAAGTTCCAAATATTCAAATTTAATTTCGTCTTCATTTAAAATATTTATGGCGTTTTCGTAATGTTGTATGGCTTTATCATAATCATGCATCTTGACCAGAGCTGTGCCTAGCTTTTTAACTAGTTGCATATCCTTAGGATTTCCTTTTAAAGCCATTTCATAAGAATCTGCTGCTTGTACAGGTTCTAAAAATAACATACAATAATTAAACCAACTTTGTGATTGAAAGAAACTTAATTAGTAGCCAATAAGTTCTTCCAGACTATATCTATTCCAAATTTCTGCAAAATGTATGCAGCCGTTCTGGATACCTTTTAACAAATATCGAATCATCCATACATACATCCAAACATTCACATATATAATATTAGTACAAAGTTGTGATTAACTTCCACACTCATAGCCTTTAAGTGGTGACCATTACTGTAGATTTTGTACGAAAACTTTCAGTAAGGAACTCCCTTAGCGCTCAATTAGCGAGTCTGAGTGTGGGAGTTAAAGTATTTTTTGTCAATTATTATTACAAAATGCATGTAGAGATGGATGGAGTATGTAAAATCTGACATAGTTGTCTTTTTTCTTAACGACCTTACGTACGAAATAAGGACAGGATGATCTAAAATCTCAATACTAACCTTGTATAGACATGTATGCATCTCCCATCATTGTATGTGCATCCGCCATTGGATGATTGCTAACAATCTCTTTGAAACAAGAAGTAAATTTAGCTCTATCCTTTTTATCTTTCAAATAAATATGAGCCATTTTGCTATGAGCTTGGAAATAATACGGCTGTCCAGGTTTTACTTCGTTCAGTATATCAATAGCGTTATCAGCATCGCCTTTTTTAAGGGCAAGTTCCGCACGAGCGATAAGTAAACGACCTTCTTCTGAAGTGTACGAGATTTCTTGTATTGCTTCCTATATTAGAAAATTATAATATGCAACAAAAGAAAGTAAATTATAAACATTCAAAACAATCTCATAATAAGATAACAAAAATTTAATAAGACAAAAAATAATTGATGAAAGTTATATAGGAAAATAGACCACTAATTTGCAAGTTAAATATGTCATCCCCTGGCTCTAAGCTACATCCTCACCAATTTTCAAGCATATAGGTAAAGCCGTTTTTGAGTTAGTAGTAGTTTAGTAACTAACACGACTTTTTTTATATATATAAGATTGGTCTCGGAAACCAATAGGAAGAAAAATAAAACATTCAACATAAAATCAATAACAACATACCTGCATAATCTTTCCTGCTTCACCAAACTGTTTTAATTCCATTTGAGTTTCAATAATTTGCAAATAAAGTGACGATTTATCAATTATATTTAAATCCCATTCAAAGGAACGATTCAAATTTGTTACAGAATTCTTACTCGTTAGTATTTGAAGACTGGTATTGTAACTTGATAAAGCATCTTGGAGTTGGTTGACATTCTTTAATATTATACCATTTAAAAAATGGTACATTGCACTGTCTCGCACTTTAAAATTATAACTCAAGCACATTTCTAGACACTGGGCCGCTTTAGTATACATCTGTTGTTGGATGTAGACCTGAGACAATAATACTTGGCTACCGGGATGAGTATTGTCCAACTCAACAATCCGTTGTGCTAACTTCTGAGCATCTTGTGCGTAACCAAATAAAAACTTCAATTTAGCCAATTCAAATAAACCCACAATCAAACTGGGACATGCCCTAGTAATAGTTTCTAATATCTTAAAACAATTGTTCACTAAAGCATTGTTTCCTTCTTGTGTATACAATAGGTAACTTATAATCACAAATGGCTTCTTAGGTAAATGTTTTTTATACTCTTTGTACACTTCAAGCAAAAAATCTGGATCTAATTTTTTAATATAAACCAAACTTAAAGGATAACGATCAGCTATTAATATCTGTGTAGTCAAAGCTTCATTAAGAAATGCCACTGCATTAGAACTTTTCTTATTTAATTGAGCTGATAGTAAATATAGAATTGGAAATTTCTCATTCCCTTGCATTTCAAATAATAATTCCACTTGTTGGGCAATTTGGTCAATCGGACCATTCTCAAACATTTGACAAAGAGTTAAACCACACAATGCGGTTATAGAGTTGCTATCTATTTTGCTTGCAGCTTTAAAAAAGTTTTGTGAATCTTTATATTTGCCTTGAAGTATACATTGATAGCCAACTTCGCTTAAATAATTGACATTGTCACTGTACATTTCTGATGCATATTGTGCAAATCTATAAACTTGAGAAAGTACCGCACTTGATCGACCACAAATTCTGGAAAATATCTGTGCTGTATTGTAAAATTGATAGCCATTGTGGGGTTCCTCAATTTCTAATATAGTAAATAATCTATTTAATTGATCAACAGCTTCTATATAATCAGAATTTTTACATAATTCTATAAAAGTTCTTATTTTAAAAGCATCAATATTATCAGGTTCCTGATTAAATATCCTCTCCATTGTATCATAGATTGCTTCCCACTTTTGCATTGCAAATTCATTTTTTAATTTCTCTATTAATGGAACAACTTGGCCGGGACTACTGACTATAAGTCTGTCTAGTGTTAAATTTGATGCATCATAATCTTTAGCAAAATATTTAAATTTTGCTAGTCCAAGTAAAGTCTCAATATTTTTGTCACTTTTAGTAAGAGCCAATTCAAACCCATCTAATATGGAAGTTGGTAGTTTACCAATGTTCATGTAAATATCATTCAAAGCTTTTAAAATTATTGTATCAGAATTGTTAGGATCTTTTCTTAGAGATTTGTTAATGTAATCTGAAGCTTTTTCATACTTCTCGGCAAAAGATAAGAATAGTCCTGCATAATAAAGTGAAACGGCTGTACCTTGTTTTCTTTCTTCTTTTAACTTAGATTCTAAATTGTAAAGATCATCACTGTCAGTTGTTTTAGATTGATTGTAACCATAAATTATTGCTATAATAGTGGCCAGTTGTAAATTTTTGTCAGATTGTATTGGTGTGAGTTCACTTATTCCTTTTTGAGCTTGGCCTTCAAGTACATATGTCACTGCATTGTAAAATATAAATTCTACCGAATCATTATACTGTGACAATGCTTTTTTACTGATTTTTCTAACTTTTCCATAGTATTTTTCCCTTAAATAATAGTGGATATTGCAACGGTACCAAATAAGATCCATAGTTGTATAGCAGACTGCTAATTATTCTAAATCCATAATAACTTTCAAATCTTTGTATTTATTTATATTGTCATTATAATATTTAGCAAGAAAATGACATTTACATGTCACATCCAATTTATTCTCCAAAGCATAATCAAATGCATACTGGAACATGAAAATTATTGGTTTGATTTTCGAAGCTACAATAATATCCTTACAGTAAATTTATATATTATGTTCACTCTATATTATCGTTTATAAATTAAATATGTAACAAATTATTAAACATGAATTGAAAATAAGGAATACAGCAAATAAGGAACTACAATTGAGACATGAGATTTCATAACTGACCTCTCCTAATAATTTTCCAACTCCCTTTCCTTGAAATTCTTTCGGTACGTTCGTATGGATGAAAGTTATATGTTTGCCACTTTTATCATAATCTAGTGTGGCTTCTGCTGTTGAAAAGATACAATAAGAAGATTGCAATGTAAAAATTATTAATATAGAAAAAATTGTACTAATAAAGCACGAATTTTCAACAAAATAAGAGATCAATTACATACCGCCCTGTAATGACACTACAAACTGTTGCTTAGCAACATTATTGACAACCTTTAAGGCTTCTGTGGAAAATGATCTGAGACGGGTTAACATTCCAATTGGGCCTTTGTAAGGTGTAATGGGGAAAAATTGTTAACCTGTTTTATTACTACGATCAACTGCGAATTTACAAATTATAATTTGTATTCAAATCCATATAATGTCAATGTCATTGTCAGTCAGTCAGTCAGACATTGGTTGTCAATTAAATTTTTAAACTGTCACGATTTATGTCAAAGGCTTTGGATCTAGCTTCATAAACAAGAAACAGAAACAGAACAGGATCTAGCTTATCAATAAATTATATAAAAGTTACTTCCGTTTATTATAACATTTTAATGTTATTTATATTTCAATAATAAATACACTTCTAGCTACCAACGTTTGAAATCATAAGTGAACTTTTCCTTCGTATAACTATTGTCCAAGTGCTTCATGTTCTTGTATTCAGAATGTATGCCCTGAACTTAGAGGCCCATGGTGGATTTTGGTTGAGAATATGATATGTGCCGGTATCTGATAAGATTTTAAAATTATTCTATTTTGTACTTATAGATTTATTTATCATAAGAATTAGCCATCAGTACGATATCCGCTATTTGCGTTAAGGTTTCCACATATGGATATGGATCTTTGAAAGACGTGACAGGTATACAATAGCATTTTATAATATACATCGAGCGCGTACCTAATATATGAAATCGAGAAGTTAGCTACTAAACTTAAATACAGGTGTTAAAAATGTAAATATTAATTTGATCTGTATATAAAACTTAATTTCACTTTGTATAAATGCTAAGAAATTAAAAAGACACTTTTGAAGTGACTCATTGGCAACGGTCGCTGACCTTGACTGCTACGGTTTGAAGAGCGCGATTAATCGATTGAATAATCTATCTATATCTAACCTAGACGGCTTTGGAACAATATAAACAAACAGTTTATCGTATCATTTACAGCTTAGTTTAATAATATAAAATTATCTAGATACAATCTTTACGGTCATGTTGCTAAAATTTTAATAAAGGACTTTCAAATTCATTTTATTTTAAAAGATTAAAATAAATAACGGAACGAGCCATGGACTATGCGTCATAATGGCACATTGTATAACCGGTCTGAATATTTTAAGATTCTGACGATGACTTCATCCTTTTTATATTTTTATTTATTTAATTGTTGGTAACTATAATAAATTAGCACTTAGAGTACTGACTTAGACACTGTTACTTGCGTTAACTAACGCGTCTCCAAATCACTAACAGAAAATACTAGAAATAGCCGAAACACAAATTTGAAATCGACAAGCACTTTGTTACAATTATATGTTACAAAATGATATCCTAAAACTAAATCTCTGATATGTAATTAAGACCAATGAATGTTGTAGTAACACTTAATGAATATTTATAATTTTAAGAGTAAGATAATACTTGAAAATGTAACTGTTACAATGTGATGAGAATAATAAATGCGACTACGTATGTACAGATTAACGATATAGTTTTTTTTTTAATTTCTTAATTTTCTTTATTATTTACTTTCATTACAAAAGCTTCTATGTAGTTATTTTAAGGAAATGTAACTTAAAATTAGTATAACGTTAGCCTTTCGCGTCCTGTCTGTACTACCAAGGTCTCACCCCAGGTATGAATCCCAACGACTTTGCGAGCTGACGTCAACATGGTCTGGGGCAAGGGGTATCAGTAGGGCTGACAAATTGCAATAAATATAGGCAAGAATACAGGTGGCCGAAATAAACGACAACCAGTGACCTATCAACCCTTGACTCTTCTGTAGACTTTAGAAATAACGATGTCCAGCCACGATCAATAACGGACAACGAAATGAAAACGACATTTTGTGACTGGTTAGCCCGTATATGCTCTTTGCAAATCAAGTTTGTAGTATGGCGAAAATCTTCAAAATATAACCTGCCTTCTGGGGGGGAAAAGGATGAAGTGCGTCTGTAAAGGTCCCGGGAAGGAACGCATCGAGAATAAAATATACTCCGGGTAAAGAAGTGGCAGCCCTAAGTATCAGTAAACAGCTGGTCGAGTGGACGCGCGCAGGCGCCCGCGCATGCCAGTCGCATTTTAGGCGCAGCGCGCGCTTCGCGCCTTTTTATCTGTGTTTGATTAGTGATTTTGACATTACAATGAAATTAACATAAACATAATGTTTTGTTAATGTTAGTATTAATTACGAATAAAAGTGTTTTTAATATTTTTTACTTAATCTCAATTTTATATTCATTGGCACATTACGTGAAAATGAAAAATGTTGTTTGGTTGTAAACAAAATAAATAAATTTATCTACTAATTAAAATTGGAAAAAGTAAATAATATAATTTAAAGGTACGTAGAAAACAATATAAAATCTTAACCATCAATAAAATGTTAATAAAAAAAATTGTTATTAATTTATGTCAACTTTTTTTAAACGTCACTTTCCTTACATGTCCATTAAAGTGAAATGCCATGAAACAAAAAAGGAAAATAATAGAAAAAAAACATTGCGTAACATTCTATTCACTTAGGATTCCATCACTTTTATACTTTTTGTAATTCAAGTTGGAGCGAGTGTAGGCGGCAATTTAAATTTAAATTTCGAACGGTGACGCTATTACGTTGATACCATTCGAAATTTGAATTTTATAAAACGTTTGCAGTGTGTGTTTACAAGTGTTAAGTGGAGGAAACATATGTGATATTGTTTGTTGTTTGGTGTAAGTGGGGGGCGGGCTTATGGGGCAATGTGTGTCCCGGGATCATCCGGGCGCTTACGCGTTCTCCCGACACTATGACGCCGAAAGCTTGGCCAGCAGCGTAAGCGGATATGCCAGAAAAGTAAGTAATTAATCTATGTCCGAAGTCTTAAGTCAAACTTTAACGGTTTGAAATTTATATGAAAACATGAAATGAGTAAAGAATTCATGATTATAATGCACATGTAGTAAATTAAATTATGCAAATCCTAAAGATTGGCGTACTACATGTATTGTACATTGCGCTTTTTTTTAATTACCAACATAATAAATAGGGTACTAATATCTGAATTTTATAATCAAATCTTTTATCCTCGTAGCGGATGCGTCTGATAATAAAAAAGAGTAGTATACAGCTCAGAATATGTGGTATTACTATCGAGAGAAAAGTAGGGACGGAAGAGGGTAATTGAAGCTTTGAGCTCGGAGACAAAACAGCATCCTGTTCCCGATTGTAGTACCGGCAGCCGGCAGGTTATAAATGACATTTGATGTACACGTACCCACAGATTATAAACTAGCACAATCAATGTAATAAAATAATCTAAAAACAATGTTAACTCTTTTGATTACTTTTCATTTACTTGGATTAGATAAAGCTATCGTGAAACATCTAATGGTAATTTTAATTTATGTCTAATCAATGAGTAATCTTATGTATTTGTTTATGTACTTAAAAACAATTGATAAATATCAAGCTGTTTTTCCACGAGTTAACTTCCTATTGGCACGTAATTTTAATCATCCATATAAGTATGAGCAATTGAATAATTGAAACGCATAATGAATATTTTAAATGTTTTTGGACTTAAGTCATAAATACGATTGCATCCAACTACGTAGTGGACAGTAAATTATCTATTCTTTAAATGCCAAGGTTAAAAAGCGACAAAACATAGATTTACCTTCAAAGTCTAACAGGCGTCAATATAAGGCACGTTCACACTGCGTTTTACGACGTCATTTTGCAATGTTTTCTTTTTTACATTTATTTGCTACATTTTATCTTTAGATCTTTGTATTTTTAATAATACAGTCATCGAAATAGAAACGAATTTGTAGCATTGTTTTTTGTTTTCTCTTCTCCTATTTGGGTCACGGGCGTAGATGCTTTTTCTTGACTATTTTATTTACAGTTAAAAGAAAACTTATGACATATTTTGACATATTATACTATAAACTTGAAATACTGTAATGATATGTTTTTGAATTACCTTTTTTAATTTTTACTTTAATATTACTAAATGAAAGATTGTTCACAATCGATTCGATTTACTAAGTAAATCGATTTCTTCAAATCGATCGATTCGTGTTGAATGAAGAAAGCATTCGTAGTTTTCAATTGATCGTTGCTTTTGATACAGAGTAACTATTCTTGGCCATTTACAATAGGGTGATATACAATTAAATTGAGTTTTAAATACCTTCGCAGAATAAGGCCGTTTGCCTTCTATTGTATCTTAAAAAAAACTAAAAAAATAAATACAATGAAATCGGTGTAATAAATACTACGATCTCACAGAAGACAAGCTCAAAGAGTATTTCTGTTTTACCTTCGATGATATTGGTGTCGGTAACAAAAGTCTAGTCATCTCTGTCCCACCATCTCCAATGATGGGAAGGGAATTTAAATACGAAATCGAGAATTAGATTAGATGTAGACTAACTTTAAAAACTTGAAGGTTATATATGATGATGTGTAATTACAACAGTCTCGGACGCCAGACTATGGCGTT